GTAACCTCTGCTGACGCCCTGCTCTAAGGTATCCTCAAATATGGATTTGTTTTCCAAAGGTGCAGCCTGATCAGGACACATGGGAAGTCTGCATGACACCAGTACTAGTGCAGATGGCTTCCTGCCTGGTCACAAATAAATGCATGGAAAGAGTGCCCAGGCCAGCAAGAGAAATCAAAGACATGGACTGAGACACAAGTGCTGCAGGCTGAGCACAGCCAATCTTTCATGGTCACCCTTATCAACAGGTCCTCACACAGCCAACTTCTTCTCTCTCCACATTTTCCCCTGACACTTTTTTGTATGGTTCCTTCTTGCTCTCTGCTTGCAGCAGCAAAGCAAACCTGGATCCTAAGGAGTTAAGGTTAGAGCAGAGCCCACACTCCTGGGCTGAGCCAGGATGCCTCTGCCAGGCAGTGGATTCCTCCAGCATCCCTGTCCTGGCTGCTGTAGGAGGCACAGGTAACACCAGTGAACCTCTGAGCCATCCTCCCCTCTCCTTGGGCTCTACAGATCCTGTCCCCAGGGCTGCTCTGAGCAGCTCCTGCCACAGTCCTCCTCCACAGCCATCCCAGCTCTTATCTGGCATCCAAAGCCTTGTTTTTCCCACTGACCCACCACAGCCTCTCCAGTGCCTGCCAAGTGAGCAGCCTCCCAAGGGAACAGGAGCTCTGAGGTGTTTGGAGAGGAGAAAACAGTCCCAAAGGCAAGGCTTTCCCAACTTCATCATGCATACAGCAATCAGTGCCAGTAAATAAACCCTAAATACCTAATATTAACCTGTTTTTTTACTGACAAGCACTTTCAGGGTTGTTTTTTGAGGTGAAGAGGGGTTAGTAGTCAGACAGTCAGCTGCTCCAGCTGCTGTAGGATTTTTCATGCTGGCTGGCAGGTGGCATCATAACTCCCCAAAAAGCCCAGAAAGGTTGGTTAATAGTGGCTATAGGCAAAACTTAGAGGAGAAGGAGTAGTGTGGAGGCCTCCTGGGAAATCTGTTTGGTAAAGAATGCTGTTTGCAGAGCCCCAGATGATCCATCAACCAATAAGGCCTGAAAGAGGCAAGAAAAGAGGGGCTTAGGTGGGGAGAGGAATTACTGCCACCCTGGGGAGAAAAGAGGAGGGAACCTCAGGATTTAGGATTTTAGAGAAAAGGTGACAGCCCACGCTTCCAACTGCAAGGGGACAGCAGGTGAGTGCAGGCCTCGGGCTGGGAGTGCCCCTGTCCTCACCTGCCCATCCCATCCTCCTCCACAGCCTGTGAATCCATGGCAGACACGGTGTTCAACGCCGTCTGGACCCTGGGCTGCCGGCCCTTCATGAACAGCCAGAGGAGCGCCTGCATTTGCAGCGAGGAAGAGCGGGATGAGCTGTGAGGAGGAGCAGCTGCCCCGGTCTCCGTGAGCCCCTCTCCAGCACAGTGACTCCTGCCAGGCCCAGCAGGGGCTGGGGACCGGGGCTGAGGTGGCTCTGGGCAGAGCTGAGCCAGCCCATGGACAGAGGGCAGCCGGGGCTGCTGCAGGTGCAGCTCCACAGCCCCAGCGCCCCTTTCCAAGCCCTCCAGGCAGCAGGATCCCAATGCCAGCTCTTTCCATCGGGAGAGGCAAGCAGGATGCAGTGCTGGTTATAAACACGGGGCTTACCTTAAATACACGCTATTACCTCCCCCCACCCTGTAACTCTCTAATTTGCAGTGCAAGGCATTAGGTTTCTGCAAGCCCTGTGAAATTCCTAGTCCATGGATGTGCAATTTACATTTTTGCACCACTGGTGACAGACTGAAGAGGGGAAATCTGCTTTCAGTACGTTGCTCATGCCCGTCCCTGACACTTTCCATCCTGTCATTACACACCTGGACAACCCTGCATATTTAAATAGTTGGTGGGTCCTAAACTGATTTAAGACATCTGGAGATTTCTTAAGCATGAGTTAAGGGGAAGGGCTTGAGGTGTTTGTGGTACACAGTTGATATTTGGGACCAAAGCCCACCATTTAATTTATCAGATGTGAAACCACAGCCCTCTCCCCCAGTCTCAGGAGATGAAGCCACGTTTTTTTTGCCAGTGTCATGCACATCTATATTTAATTACTTCTCTCCTATAGCATTTAACAAAGCTTTGCCCTTAGGATCCCTTTTTACACAGAATGGCTGGGTATCCACCTCCATCTCTCGCACGAGGGAAGCAGGAGGCTCACAGTGGCTCTGGATGAGATATTCCAAATTCTGGAGGCTTATCTGTCAGGTGACAGGACTTAACGTGCTACCTCTGTGGGGCTGCTATCAGCAGCCTCAGACACCATTCCTTCTAAAACACGGTTAATACTCCCATCTGTTATGGGGAGCTTTCTCTGCATGCAAAACCAGCGTTTTGCCTCCACAGAACATTGGCAAACAGCTTTCAGCTGGGTTTCTTGTTGGAAGGAAGCTGCTCCTGGGTGTGTGAGTGCCTCGCCACGTAAATATTTCAGCGGCTCCTGCAAACGTATTTATGGTTATGTTCTTCCATCTGCCACAGAGAAGTTAAGGCTGCAAAAGGGTGATTTAACAAGAGTGGAAAGAGTCTGTCTTGGTTGTTTTTCTTCCAGTTTAAAAAGGTTTAAAATGTATGCATGGAGCTGTAAATTATTTAAGCCCTGTATTCCTGTTCCTGCCAGTCACCTTTGCCTTACAGTGAGCAGCAATGAGATGTTCAGCTGACCCCAAGTGGGCTGGAACAAGAAGAGCCCGCTGGTATGCAGACCAGGAAAGTGGAAATGGCTGCATGGGGTGTGTATTGGCATGGGTTCCATCACAGAGGACTTCTGATCAACACTGATCAGATGCAATGACAGCCTTTCCTAGCTGGGCTAATGCCACTGGAGAGGGAATTCTGCATTGCTGAGGTTCACCACTCTGCCAGAGCACAAGGCTGGACATAACCTTGGTTATCCAGCTAAGAAACACATACTTTAGGCTAGGGGATGGGAAGGGAACATTCCTTATTCAAGACACTTCCCCAACTTTGTATTTTGTTGGTGAAATGGTGCCTGTGGTCAGTTTAAATGTGAACATACTCTAATGATTAAATGACAAAAAAGAAATTAAAACAGCTGTACTGTCTACGTTCAATAGCCGGCTGGATGGCAAATATCACAAATTATTTTATAGTTCAACTGCTATCAGATTAAAGCCAAGCAACTGCTGGCAGGTGATGACACACACTGGAGAAATCAAAAGGTTCTGAACAAAATCTCTGTACCCAGACACCGATGCGCTGGAGACGTCGCTGACATAAATCATAATTTCTCCCTGCCTTCAGACTGCCACTCATCCCAAAACCCTAGAGACCAACAGGCCAGCTACTTAATAAATTCATTTTTCACTGTGGTAATCTGAAAAACCCCACCAGCAGCTCTACAAGGAAATATTTGAACCTTCAAGTGGTGGCAGTGACTCCGACAAAGCACCAGGTAATCCTGTGGAGGAGCAAACCAGCGCATGGACTCCAGTAAAACCGCATCCAAACTAAAAATTGCTTCCCCTCCGTGCCACTCCTGCTATCTAGGGATGCACAGCCATGGAAGCAGCTGATCACAGGATTCTCCAGGTTGCTGCACAAACCTTGGGCTGTCTTCAGTTCCATCCTGCTCTGGACACAAAGACAGCGCTTTGCTCATCCCGTGGCCTCCTCTTGACTTTGTGCATTTGGCAGGATTGTTTTCAGCTGCAGAGTGGAAAAGCTGCTTGACACGAATTTGTCAGGAAAAAACAAATCATGTGCACAATAACTGAAATAAGCCAGGAAAGGAACTTCTCCCCCCACATGAACAAACAAAACCAGTTGATTCTCCAGAAGGCACCAGATAATTAATTTCATTTCCCAGCTCTTGTTTTATCAAAACAAATATATTTAGCAGAGGCTGCCTGAACAAAGAAATTTCCACAGGGAAACTGCCCCTGTGGTCCTAATGCAGATGTGAATCAGCAGAACAACAATCCTAGGAGAAGCCTTTTTCCTTTCTTTTTCATTCACACATGGTTAGATACCACACAAAAAGTGTCTTTCCATTTACACCTACTTATCATAATAGAAATATCTTTGTTTAACACACACACACACACACATATTATTTCCAAGACTGGAAAAGGAGCCATGAAGCTATTTAGAAAAATTATTAAACTCTCAGCCATTAAATGTTCATTCCTCACTGGAATCTCGTTTGCCAGAACAAATAAATCTGTGAAACAGGTTGAAATGTTTGAGGTCATTTGTGACTCCCTTCTAAATGGTCCCTTCAAATGGATTCCACTTCCATTTGAGAGCAGCAGCAAATTTTGGCTTTTGCAGCAATTTGGCTGCTCCAAGTAAAGCAGAAAATGATGAAGGATCATCCCTAATCCTTTACCACCCAGCTCAGTGAAGCCCAGAGGAGCCCAGGCTGATCACATCCATTACATTTTCTTTGGAAGGACCTTGACAGCCCGAAAAGATTCCTGACAACCACGATGCCACCGCCACCACCGGTGATTGTGTCCCCTGCCACGGCCACTCTGACAACACTGCCGTGCCTCCTGTCACCAGGCTCACTGGGGACAGCCCTGTCCTGAGAACTGCCCACATTGTCATGGACTGCTATAAATAATTAACCTGCATTCCTCTAATCCTTTGTTGGAACCACGGCCTCTCTAACCAGGGCAATGCATCACAACTTCCAAACAAACACTTGGCAGCAGCATGCAAGGGAGGGGGGTGTTTAGAGATGTTTAATGGTGTTTCTCTTACAATGAAGGTGCCACAGCACCTAGGAAAGGCATTTTTGGTGGTGGGAGAAGAGGGAGGAGGATACACTAAATACAGGAGGAAACTCTATTAAACTTCATGCAATTATCAAAAGCCACTAAAAAAAAATCATATCTGTTTTGCTATTTAAAATCCCATTTAAATGTACCCATGACAGATGTGAGCTTTAAGCTGCCTGTAATGACAATTGCATTGCTCCAAGGAACTTAACACATGATGAGATATATTTTATACACATTTTTATTGACAGTCACCCGAAAGCTTCGGCATCACTCACAGAGCTGCACAGCAAACACGCTCAGCTACGATACTGTTTGTACTGTCTGATGCAAGAAGGGCTTGGATAACATTTGTTTAGTCAAGGACAAACAGTCCTGGGGCCTGTAGGTGGATGTGGGGAAAGACAAAGTTGGGTAACACTTCTGGCCTGCAAAGAAACAGGGTCCCTTCAGCTGAAGGGCTGTCGGGGAGAAATGCAGATAAAACCAAACTGTTCTGCAGTCCAAGGGCTGCCTCGTGGGCACAAAATACTTCACAAATAATCACCACAGAGTTAAGGAAATGAGTCCTGAGGTTCGAGCAGGGCTCTAACAAATACCTCCCGTTTCTCAACAGAGAAGAACAACAACAGAAGGCAGTGATAAGGAAGGCCAGGAATGCTGTTCCAGAGGGTGGGTGTCAGTCCTCAAAGTCGATTCTGATGGGGCCTCCTGTCAGGACGTGGTTAGCCATGTGAAGGGATTCCTCCTCCTGCTCCTCCTCCCGTTGCTCGGCCGCCCTGCGCGCGCGTCTCCGGCAGCCCTGGGCGCAGCGTGAGGTCTCGTCCAGCGCCCCGCACACGAGGATGCGGCAGTGCAGGAACACCTCCTGAGGTGGGGACACAGCAGGAGGGTCAGTGCATGGCTCTGGAGTGCACCTCTGGACCACTGGCCCAGCACCACAGCGTTCCTGTGGCACACAGTCCGTGTCCAGCATCGCCACCCGCAGCCAGAGCGGCTGCTCCCTCTGTTTCCTTGAGAGCCCTCTCCAGAGAGCCTGGCTGAGATCTCAGAGCCAAGAGTGGGGAGACAAGGAATAGGAAGGGGTGAAATGATCCTCCAGATGAAGGGATGAAAATGACAGGAATCAGCTTGGAAGAGCTCGTGTGGACTGGTAGGAGCTGCACCTCAGGAGTGCGCAAAGCCTCGCAAGGACTGATGGAGACGTGCAAGAGAATTTCAAGTGAGCTGGGAAAACAAAGCCAGGAAACCAAAAGGAAAAAGGAGGAAAACACAGGGTGATGAGAGGCTAAGTTGAGGGAAGAGAGAGAATGCAAGGAGACATCTGCCTCTTCTCCTTGCACAGCAAAGGCAGAGACAGGATTGCTGCTTCCCTGCCCCGTAAATGACAAGGAGAGCAAGAAAGATCCCTGCAAGCAGCAGCCACGAAGACTTGGAGAGGTCTGAAGCAGAATCCATTGTGCAGGATGGGAGGATGCAGGTTGGAGGCAGCAGGGGTAATAAGAAAGCCAAGGAAAAATTTCTGAATTTTAGAAGATCTCATCTGTTTTAACCCTGCTGGGGCTCTCCATTAGCTTTACACCTTTTGGAGCAGGCTGAGCATAGCAATAGCTGGAATATCCAATTTCCTCCAACACAGAAAGGAAAGCTATTTGCATTAGGAAAATGGCATTATCCTTCCACTGTCCTCCCACCACAGAGCTTCTGCCCCAGAGAGACAGCCTGGCTTCACATTGAATTAAGCAGTGTGGTGGCCTTCTGTCTGGAGTCCTGGCACGAGCTAAAGACACAAGGTTGAAGAGATCCCAGACTAGAAGCTGTGTTTTTTTAAAGACAGGGCACTGAGAAATGTGCCTGGTGAGTGAGAACACTTCTCTCACCCAGCAAACAAGGGCCCACCAAGATCACCCTGGAAGTAACAATGATGCTGTGGCATTGATGTCCCAAAACTGCCCTTCATATTTTAATTTTAATTGTTTTTATCAATCTCTCTTGAAAGTACCCATGTCAGGGCTCCTGTAAGATGCAGCTGCTGGAACAGGCACAGCAGCACCTGCCCTGGGCCAGCTATTCCATACCCTTTTCTGACTCGGTGCTGAGGCTCCTCTGTCATATCAGAGCTGATGAAATACCTGAGAGTTGAGTTTTGAGCTTACCTTGTTGTCTTTGCCCACAAACTTGAACACAGGAACCTGGAAATGCTTGGCAAGATGGTCCTTTGACGTGTACTGCTTCACAGAATCATCAGAAACGCAGCTGAGGAGAGCAGAGGGATAGGCTTTAATGGGTTTCCCAGGAATGGAAAAAGAAAGAGAAAAGACATTCCAGCCTACTTAACCAGAGAAAGAAAAGGAGGGATCGGTTCTCTCAGGCTCAGCTACCATCTCTGCTACTTCCTCTTTGGCCACAGGAGAAAAGTTGGGAACGACAGGGAAAAACAGCAGCACTGCTAATAGCATCTGCAGACAAGGAACAGCTCAGCACAGCAGAGGGCTGGCAGGACGTGGCCCAGTCCCCTCAGAGAGGGGCTGCCAGCGAGCTGCAGGCAAGTCTGTCCTCATTTCACCTTCCTGTGCAACAGCCTGCAGTGTTATACGCACCAGAACGTGGTATGCACTTACTGTATACACATAGATATGCACATAAATTATGCTTAAAATGAAGCAGCCTGCACCCACGTTACTAAAATATGACAGATGATGAAAAACAACAAAAAATACAGATTTACTTAGCTTTATAGCATTTACATTTTTCTTCCTGCTGGATTTGGTCAAACAGCTCAAATTCACTACACCCAAAGTTTATAATTTCAGTTTTTCCATCGCTAGCAATGCATGTTTGTGCGAGAGGTCGCAGAACTGCAAGAAAATAAGCTGCTTTTATAGCAAGTTACATTCCAGGTGTGGTGCATTTATAAACTATTACAGCCTATTTAGAGTCTGACAGACAAAAAGTAATGGTGGCTCAATAATTACTGCTGACTATTGCAAAGTCTTGGGGCATCTTGAGAGGCCCTGATAATGCTGTGAAATTGTATTGCAATGCAGCTCATCCTTTCTAGCAAGTTAATTCCAAAAATGGGGACTTTGAAAGATATTTTAAAAAAACCAACAAAACAAGACAAGAGGTACAGGTGCAGCTCAAAGTCTTGCTCTTGCAGCAAGCTTCAGCTCCCATCTTTGCATGAGAAATGTGCATGGCATTGCCAGCAATGCTGATGTTTGACGCTTTCAGTTGTTAAAGAGCAATTCTGCCTCCACTGGAACGTTTGGGAATCTGATGGTAAGGAATGACAGTTAAAGACTTTTCATAGGTGAGTGGCCAAGCTCCAGTGTCGTGAAGTCAGCTCACAGGCATGTTCTCATTTGTGAGCATAAAAACTGTGATAATTATTGGACACTGGCTCAAACTGACTCCTAAATCCCAGTTTCTCCAAAGGTTCTGCACACTGGTGGAAGGAAACCTACTGATCTGGGGCTAGGGAGAGGGAAAGTGGAAGAACACCACAAAGGAATCAGAGATACATAGACAAAAACCAGCTCAGAAACCTCACGAGTCACAAGAGCAAGTCCTTTTGTATTTGTGGGGCCAGACCATATCCCAGTCTCCTAGGAAACCCCCATAAACCCTGCTGCTCACTTTGAAGAGGTGAGAAGAGACAGGTATGAAAGGAAAAGGAAAAGGAGAGCCTGGTCAGGATATGGGGAAAATCACCCTATCCCTGTGCATAATGCACTTAGGTTTGGGGAGCAGAGTGGCAGCGCCGCAGCAGCTGTGCTCTGACCCTCTTATTCAGGGTTGCAAGGTTAAAAGGAAGGCTTGCACGATGAAATATCCACCTCAGCCTAACAAATGGGGCAGCCTGAGGCACAACAAGATGAGCTTTGCAATGGAACTACCTTAAGCACCTCGTGCTCTGCTGAATCACAGCTCCTGACCTCAGCGGTGACATGACCTTGCTCCAGATGCCCCAGTGAGCTTCAGCGTTTATCAGCTGTGCCATCGGTCAATGCCTTTGTTTCATTTTGTTTTCAGAAGGCAGGGAATTAACAGAGAAGAGAGCAGCAGAGGGAATTTTCCCATTCCTCAGTCCAAGGTATATCCTCTCCAACTTAAACAGCGTTTCCCTTTGGAATATGAACTCTTACAGGTCTGATCCTACATAAACTGATACAAAAATGCCATCTTCATTGCCATGGGCTTTTGAAGCTGGATTTCTAGAAGGAAACTGAGTTATTAGAGAAGTGTTTGGAGCAGGGACAACTCAGCAGTGCACTCAGCTAATTTAATTTTGAATCACTGGGAACACTGGGGCCTGCAGTGATGACTGCAGAGTGGAGCACTTTTCCCTTCAGTGAAGTTTTAATGCCCTCTGCAGGTACCAAGGGACTGCTGGTGCCATAAATTCTTCAACCAGTGCTGGGGTGAACTCAAGAGATGACATTTCCTGCCTTCTCCCTTCTCTATCCAGCTCAGGTTTTGGCTGCTGTTTTAAATCCCATCATTTTCACTCATGGGGAGAGATGAAAGAATGCTTGGGGCCTTGACTCTGTGAAGGGTCCATGGGAACAGCCAAGCCAGGGAGTTCATAAAATCAATTTTTCCATTACAGACCTGCTCATAAAGCCCAGAAATGTTGGGCACAGGACTGCAGCCTAGGATGGAGGCAGAGCTGGCTGAATCCTCTCAGAAGGAAATGAAAACAGTATTTTGGGGTACTTTACATTGAAGCACCTTTTTTCTACAAGAGAACCACACAGGACTTGCCATCAGCAGCTGTAACAGTGGGTGATTTAGTCTGGCAGCTGAGGACATGATTGTTGTCATCATTAAATGGTCTGGCAGGCAACATGCAGGACTTACACAAGCACAGTCCCTTGACTATCAGGCTACAGCTTTTGGGTATGTCTTAGATACTCCTTTGGCTGGATTTCCCTCCCTGGAGGACAGCAGACTGCCTCACAACGATGACACTCCCTCGGAGCTGTCTGGTTCAGCAGCTGGATGCAAACACTCCACAGCAATGCTGTAGCATTGGCACGGTCATTTCAGCACCCAAAGAAGTGTCTGAAAAGAGGGATCATCTCAGGAGCCACAGCTGAGCCCACAGCAAGGCTCCCCAAACCTCTGATGCAAAAACCACCTCAACAGTGAACCCACAGATCTGCACAAAATTATTTTTAGCATATCCTGGAACGATCACTAACCCCAAACACCTCAAAAGATTTCAGCCAAACTGAAAGCCCCTATGTTTACTGCACTGACAGGCATCAGGAGAGAGCAAAGCAAGGGATTCTCCTGCAGCTCGTACCAGCAATGAGCTCTTCTGGCTCGTGCTGTAGTAAGGCCATTATGAGAAAATTAAGAAACTTGCTCCAGTTGCTGCAGCAGCTGCCTGGCAGCGGCACACGGCCAGGGGGGTTCTGCACATTGGCTTGGCACTTTGTGGCTGGCAGAGAGAGGATATCAGGAGAGAGAATCTTTTCTACAGGAGCCAACTCAATTATCCGCAGTGCTAGCGACAGGGAAACACATCCTGTAAAAGCTGCACTCGGAGGAGCCTCTTTCACTGCCTCCCACTGTTTCTCCCAATTACTTTTGATGGGACAGGTGGTTCCAGCTTGATGGCTGCTGGTGATTGCTACCAGCACGGCAGACAGGCTGCTGTGGAGAAGGGATAGTGTTTCCTGCATCACACAGACACCTCAGCCCCACTGCCAATTCCCATTAAATTGCCAGCAAGAGAGGGGACAGTGAACTCACCCATCCTGAATCAGGTAGTACTTCAGGATCTCATCAATTTTTGAGGTGGGAGTGGCGAAGCAGCTCTCCACCAGCGTCTCCAGTCCACTGACGTGCACCAAGGGCTCAATCCCAAAGTACAGCGAGTCCCGAAGCTTGAGGGTGGGAAGAGCACCCCTGTAGGGCTCATCAAAGTCTTTGTCCTTGAAGATCTCCAGAGTGAAGGGGAAGATGCCCTGGTTGCGGCTCATGATTTCCAGGGGAGAGTTCTTGAGGTTGGGCACGTAGCCCTCGGAGATGGTGTAGCGGCGCGGGAACTCGCAGGTCACCGGGATCAGCAGCTTGCTGGTGCGGACAATGATGTCCCCATTGCTCCCCGGGGTCTGCTTGGGTAAGCCAGTCACCAGGTTGGTGGCAATGATTTTATCATTTATTACCTGCAGCAAGGAAAGGGGAGATCACTGAGAGAGGCCTCTCGGGGCCGGCGCTCGGGGCAGCCACCGGAGGCCCGGCCTGTGGGTTTACACCCCACATCCAGAACGGTGCTGCTCATCCTCACACACCAACTAAGGACCTCGGTCTCTGCTGCCAACTGCGATGCACCACACTTTGCTACACCCCTCTGCTAAGGTGAGCCCTCGGGGTCCTGACCAGTTGCCAGTTTAAGCCTTGAAAATTTATCAGGAGACCAGAATGTGTCTCAGCAGGAGGATGAGGAGTGAGGGCACTTGTACCTTCTAGCCTTGTGAAGCAGGAGGCGAGCAGAAAGCAGCACCCATGCTCACAGACACACACTGCTGGAGGGAACGGGCTCTCTGCCTTTGGAATGCCAGCCCAGGTCTACTCTGAGGGCAGCTGCATGGCAGCACAGGAAAGCAGCTCTGAGGGTACAGCTAAACCATTTATTTAACCTTTACTCCCCAAGTAAGCCACAGCCAAATCCCCAGATCCCAGAGACTGGGCAGGAGGTCATACATACATCTACAACAGTACCACAGGACTTCAGGGAGAAATGGATGTTGACATGAGTGCCATTGGACACGCCTTTGCACGAAGTGTTGATGAGGGAAAGGTCCAGGCCTCCAACCAGGTCCTTTGGGATGTTCACCTCAATAGAGCTGGACTTGCACAGCACTGGAACTGCAAGAGAAATCCCCAGAGTAAGTCTGTGCTACAAACCCACCAGTGGGCTACACCAGTTATAACTGGGGGAAAAAAAGGGGAATCACAGATGGCATTTATAATTATGATCCTACCACAGTAACCTAACTACCCATCTTGCAGTCCCACCTAACACAACACAAGCCAGAGCTGCCACTGCCCCAAATTTTCCAGCCACAGCAATGCCTCAGAAGACAATGAAATGAGAAACTTAGCTGTGCTTCCCAGCTTCACTTAATATTCAGCACAGATTTGGTTGATATCCCTTGCACTGCAATGTCCTGGCAAGAGCCTTTGCCAGATATGGGTATCAAATTCACAACACCCCAGGCAAAGCCATATTTTAAGAGCCTTAATCAGATTTTACATCAAACCCAGAACACGTTGAAACAAGGCAGAGTAATTCCATATAGATACCAGGCTAAAATGGAAGCACCTCAAAATGCCATAATAATATTTTTATAAGCAATAAACCTAGCTCTGACAAGCAAACCCAATTAGCTCACTCATTCCAACCTTTAAATTTTAATACAGGCCTCCGTGTGAATTTCTTTAAATTAAAATTTCATTATGTAAGAAGCAGGAGAAAACAGAGTTTGGACAAAATAAAAAGGAAGGAAGAGAGAATAATCTTCAATAAAAAAAGTGGTTGCTGTACATATACTCCTTGGGATTATGCAGTTCAGTTAGAGACAGGACAAACATACTGGTGGCATATATTATGGTTTCAGCCAGAAAAACAAACCTTTTGCAGGATTTACATTAATTATATTTTAAAATCCCACAACAAAACTTTTTTGCAAATATTCTAGTTTCCTGAGATTTTTGCCAAAATTAATTGCAGTCCCGGTCCTTAACATTCCTATGACCTGCCTTCCCTTAATTTCAATCATGAATTATATAATTTAGGATTCTGGATATTTTATATATAAGGCACACTGCTTAAATAGGCATTTCAACCTCCTTAAAAAATTTCCCTGTCCCAGCTCAGGTATTTGCAACAGCCTCTGAGTACCTTCAGGAAGGAGTTTTGATTAAAAGTTGATAATTTCAAAGTGATATGCTAAAATGTATTCAGAGTGCCCAAAGCAATATGTTCCCACGATGACACTGCAGGGTTAGAACAGAGGCTTAAAGAACTAAAAATTACCTTAACCTTCCTTCCACTGGCAGCAGAAGACAAGTGGGAATAAGTGAGCATGTCAAATGGCACAGCTCAGGAGCAGACAAAGGGGCTTGGAAAGACAGCATAATGCAGACAGAGAGGAACATCCTTTGGAGAAATGATTGGCTCCATCTGGATTTAAAGACTCGCTGTTCTAGCGCTCCTTGATAAATAAGAAAATGTACTGCTTTCATAAAGGTGACATTCAGGGCAAGAGATTTGGATCTCAGCTGCAATTCTCTGAAGTTCAGGACTGATTTGGTTCAGGATCTCTCTGTTTCTACATGTCTTTGACTGGCACAAAGTGGGAGAAAGAGAACATTCCCTTTTCCCTGTGCTCCAGAGCTGCAGGAGCTGTGTGCTCTCCACCACCTGGACACAAAAACAAACTCTTGACTCAAGCCAACTTGTGGCTTTTTGGGAAAACACCCAGCGTGTGCCAGTCAGACATTTTAGTTCTTCACCCTCATACTTCCCAGAGCACCTGTGAGAACTGGGAAAGCCTCCTCATTTCCACTTTAAATTCTGTTTTGCACCAAAGCCTCTGAGCATCTGACTCTGGGATGAAGCTTCTGTGGCGAGTCCAACACTCATTTCTCTGTCTGCTGCTGTTACTGCTACCATATTCCAGCCTCTGGCTCCTTCCTTGGCCTTTCAAAGAGCTGCACAAAAATTTGGGGAAGAGCGTTTCACCCCTACTCTTCAGGAAGACGTGGGGTACTAGGAAGACGTGGGGTACTAGGATGGACTGCAAAATTCTAGGATGGTCTGAAAGATTCCAAGTGTTTTGCTGGCTGGTATCTTTATGGAAAAATTGCAGCCTGTGGACTGTGATTTCTGTGGAAGATTATTAATGTTTGTTCTGAATGTGGAGACAGTGCAGAGGAGGGTAGAGAGGCTGCAGATCCAATTGCTTCAGGCTACTGTGCCTGCCCTGCACTGTTAATTGAACCAATATAAACCTGATTAGGTGTCATAAAAATTTGTGTGGTACAGCTCCATTTCTGCTCAGAATTGCAGGCCACAGCATGGTGAGATAAATCCATGAATGCAAAAGAACAGGCAATTTCACTTTATGAGATGCTGGATCCTGAACCCCAGCCTGGCTCCCAGCAGTGCTGCTGCTCTCATTAGCAGCCTCACAAGCAGCAGAAACTCTGGCTGGGAAATCCAGAACTTCCAGCCCTGCTGGGGTTGCCTCAGGACTGAAAAACATGGCTCTGTTCTTGCCTGTATCCATCAATCAGCCCTTCAATCAGTGAGTGCGATCACAGCTCTTGGAAATCCTCACCTCTGCCTCCCCACCAGCACTGCTGGATCCCAAGTGGGCAATGCTCACCCCTGGGAGCCCTGCATTTCCAAAAAGCTTAAAAAGCAGAACTTCCATCAAGTGGAAGCATTCCAGCTTCCTCTCTGAGGCATACCTGTGCTTTTGGCCACCATGAGGCCTGAATCTGTCCCTCCAACTGATGTCTGGGCACTCTGTGGCACATCAGACTGCAGGAGGTTTTCTGAGCACACCAGGCAACACCAGACTGCTGGCAGCCTGGATGGATTTGCAAAAGAGATCTTTGCAAAAAAAACAGGGAGCTTGTTTATTCCATGTGCATGCCATAGGCACAAGTGACTCAGCATGAAGGATTCCCTGTGGAAAGTTCAGATGGAAGGTTCTCCTAGGATAACGCTGCCCTGGCCTCCACACAGCAGAGGCAACAGTCAATTTTTAGATGCTATCCCAGGCACTTTGCCAAGGGGCAGCAGGAGCACCTAATATCAAAACTAGTGCCCTGCTTCAAGGCATAGGAATGCTTACTGGAATGGTATACTTGGAAAAAAACCATGCATCTGTCTTTAACCCTGTTCTTGGAAGGGACTGGACTGCTTTAGCTGAGATTTTGAAGCATGGAAAAATGTCAGTTCTAACAGCATAAATTTGTCAGAGGTGTGCAGGGAGCAGTATAATGGGAGATGTTAAGCAGTATTAATCGTAAGGGAACACTAACCCTACAATTAACGTGATGAAAGATGAGCTCAAGCTGTTCTCCTGCCTGGAGAGAAGAGCAACAACCTCAAGCTCTCACTTTTGGATGGTCTGTCATTAGTAACACAGCTCCATTAACCCACCTGGATAGGACAGACCAAGAGAAGACAGCAGAAACAAGAAGCAAAGTTCCTTCAGAGATTCTCTCAGGGGACAGAGGCTGCTGGGGTGATTTTCTTGTCCTACCTTGGCAAGTGTGGTTGTCTTCTGACAGAACAAGTCCCCTGGGACATTCACACTGGTAGGTGTCTTCCACTTCAATGCAGGTGTGGCTGCAGCCTCCGTTGTTATTGTGACAGCCTTCAATTTCTGGGGAAGAAAGGAAAATCAGCGCATCCTGCGGGCCCCAACAGACCCCTGACCAGCCAGCAGCCTGAGCAATACAGCTCAAAGGCAACAATTTGGCTCCCAAAAAATGAGGTAGAGACCCCTTTTTTAATTATACACCTTTACTCATGCAGAGCACAGTGGTTTTTTTCTTTCAAATGACCTTAACTGCTTGATTTTTTTTTTTTTTACCATTTTTTAACCATTTGGGATATGCTAGGTGAGTGCTACTGTTCTCAGTAAAATAACATAAATAAATAAAATAATATATAAATAAATAGTAAATAAAATAGATAATAAATAAAAAATAATTAAGAAATAAAATAATATAAAAATAATAAAATAAATAAAATAGCCTAAGATAAGCAAATCATAAATATGAAATATTTCTCCCCGAGCCTGCCATCAGAAATCACTGTGTGTTTTTTCACTGAAATATAAAGAAAAGAATGGAAATCCCACACTCAAATCCCATACAATGTATGGAAAATAACAACTCAAACACCCCACATAAGTCAAAGCAATGAGTAAAGCATCATAATGTAAATTTTAAGATACTTAAAACTCTATTCTAGTCTCACCAGCTCACGTAATCAAGCTAAATCTATTGCATTTGTTCTTTATAGCAACAAGCTGTGAGGTGGCCCACACCTCACATCCCATTCTCTACCAGCTCACAAAGCTGAGGGCACATCTTCAGAAATAAAACTCACTAACAAGATTGTAAAAATCCCCAGCAGCAGCGCTAAACTGGTGAAAGGCACCATCCTTCTTACAGAAGGGAAATTAAATGATATATCAAAGACCCTAAAAGCCAACTTGGGGAATGGCAGAAACAAACGAGTTTCCAAACAGACTATTCCAGCCCTGTCAGAAGAGTGCAGCACTCGGGAATAAAAATTGCACAGCTCATTTATGTGATGCCCCAGCAGCTCAGAACTGGATGTGGCAGGGACAAAGCCCACAGACAATTTTTGGCCCCACACAACTTGACAAGTGCTTAAGGAGTGCTCTGCACAGCAGCATTTCCCAGGAAAGTGTCACTGCCAGGATGAGTGATGTACCAGCAGAGCTCAGAGAGCAGATTTAGCTCTTTTGGGCAGCTGGAAAGCGAGGCACATCTGTAGTTGTTTTTCTTGTCTGAGGCCCCATAGCGTCTGTGAACAGCTTTGCTGTGAGGGGGCACAGTGCTTTTCCACAGCTCACCACAGAAAACATCAGGCACACATCAATTTTTGCTGGGTTTGCCTGTTTCTGCTCAGGGATTGTTTGTACATTGTTAGTGACAACGCATCAGGCCCACAATTTGCACTTTAAGCCACCAGTCTAAATTTATCAAGGGTTTTCAACCTGGCTGTGCCACCACTGTGAAGGAACTGTGGCAGCTGCATGGAGCAGCAGAGCCCACAGACACCAAAGAGCAAAATGCTGCCCTAATCCTAAATTTAACTTCAGTCTGCAGACTGGCAGCCCCTCTCCTCAATCTCCATCCTGGGAGGCTAAAGTGATCCTCCTACTCCAGCCTAATGCCATGACATTACCCCATGCCTGATGTGAGCTGCCAAAGCCCAGCGCTGCTAAATCTGCCCCCACAAAACTCTACCACACAAATCTCCAGAGCCAAATCCCAACAACTCCAGCAACGAGTTCTGCCAATCTTCCACATCTGCCTTTCCCCCATGGAGATAAATACAAGCAAATCCTAACAGAATCCTAACAGAAATGGACAAGGCAGGGACAACAACAAGGAGATTTCTCTCTGCTTGCTTAGAAGGATATTTCAGTATCAACCACTCTGGCAAGCACAGAGGTGATATCAGTGACATTTAATCCCAGGTGCAAGGAGCCAAGAGAGAGCCAGTGCTGCAAAGGAATGATTTATACAGTTTCCAGCAGCCTGGGGTAGCTGAAGCCTCACCTTCACAGGTTTTCCCATCACTTCCCAGCGTGCGCCCGACGCCGCACTCGCAGCGGAAGGAATTCTTCAGGTTAACACAGAACTCGCTGCAGCCTCCGTTGTTCAGCTCACATTCATTTTCATCTGAAAAAAAAAACAAGCTCTGGAATGTAATAGACAATCCCACTAAAACTAATTAAACACTGACAGGAGCTTTTGAATCTCTTGGTAAAGCTCTGAAAAGTCTTCCTAACTTTTTTAAAGGCTGAATTTGCTCTGTGTTTGTCTGCCCTTATATTTTTCTTGTTTTGTTTTGGAAGATACTTTGTTCTCTGAGATTCTAATTCCTCAACCTGATTTAATCTCTGTGTGCAAAAAGCAAATCAGAGAGGAAGGGACAGACATTGCTCTTGCTGAGCCACAAAATGAATGATTTCTCTTAGGCAGGCCAGGAGGCTGAAGTTCACAATCAAGGTTCACATGGGGTTTCATCAGAACATTAGAAGTTGGCATTTATGAGGTGTCAGAAGCTTCAAACCAAGAAAAAAGAAAAGTCCCATTTTAACAGACCGGTCAGAGATGAGCTCTCTCAGGTACCACTGGTCCCACACAGGCACAGTACCCACAGCAGGCAGCTGGTGGTGGTGTCTCCTTCCACAAGCAATGTGAATTGTGTATTTTTAGCCAAAGACTTGGCCGGTGCCCTGCTTTGGGAGGCAGGAAGAATGTCCAGGAGACACACACACACTGCTTTTCACACATGTGACAGGCTCCACACTTTCCCTTCTAAAAATAAAACTAAAGCTGCTTAAAAACAGAAGGTGAAGAGGGAAAAGGCTACTGGCAAAGGCATGGAGATGTTGTTAGAAGGACCTGGAGATTGTCTTGGTCGAGGGCTGGGCCCAGAAGTTCCCCTGACTGGTCCTTCCAAGTTTTGCTGCACACACAGATCTCCGTGCCTGCTCCTCCCCACAGGCAGCACTTCTGGGATGCAGGCTGGTTGTCTTGAGGCTGGACTGGGACAGTGCTGAGCTGATTTTAACCATGGCTTTGTAGAGCATGGATCCAGGCACTGAAGAAGTCAAAGGCAATGCACTGAGGTGGTGAATGTGTGACAGGAAGTCTGCGACCTTATTTAACCCCTAAATGAAAACGTAACTCAGGATCAGCCGTTCTGCTCTGGGATTTAAAGCAGGTAATGAGCTGAGAAGCACAGGGAGGTGCACAGAGCTGCTCACCCTTCACAGAATGGTCTGGGTTGGAAGGGACCTTAAAGCTCATCTGTTCCATCCCCTGCCACTATCCCAGGTTGCTCCAAGCCCCATCCAACCTGGCCTTGGACACTTCCAGGGATAGGGCAGCCACAGCTGCTCTGCTGCATTACTGCAGCAGCTTCAGTCTCCCTTCTTTGGGGGACCTGGGAAAGGAAGCACATTCTTTGTTTAGGAAAGACAAATGGGGATTTATTTGGTTTCTCCATAAGCAGGGCACTGTTGCTCTCAGGGATGTGACTCCACAATTACTCAGCACAACAGAAAGTTATTAGAAAGATCACAGAGCCACACAAGAGAGGCTGCAGGCAGGTGAACCAGTGTGATCATTCAGCTGAGGTGCTGTGCCATCTGGGAATCAAGAAGAGAAGCAGCAGTGCAGAAATCCTGCTCCTGGGGGGATGAAAGCAGCTGCAGCACACACAGACAGGCTCAGGACTCCTGTGTACCTCCCTGCTGCAGGAAATCCTTTCCTCTGAGCCTGCCACACATTCACTGTGTGCTAGTGCTTGTCAAGGGCACTTCTGTGACTGGAAGGCTTGCACAGAAGCAGCCAATAAATGCTTTTAATTATCTGAGAGAGCTCAGTCAGCCACTTGGCTGCAGACAAGTGGAGCTGCTTAAGCAAAAGCTCTTCCCAGAATCACTGTGAGCAAATGTAACTGCAGCAGGACCAGACTGCTCCTTCCACACTGGAATGACTGTGGGCCCTGCCCTGATGCTCACAGACACCAGATGTGTGAAGAAAGAAACCATCCACACCTGCTTTGTCAGGTGCAGCCCCTTTGAAACAGACTGACCTGCAACACAGCCTCTTGAACCAAATCTGCTTTCAGCTTCACCACCAAATCAAGTGGCAGATGAGATTCCTCCTCCCCCCAAACACCCTTTCCTCCCCCACCCCTTTCTATCCATCGGTGTGGCTCTGCAGCTCTCCAACAGCCCCTTCATTTGTCCCATCATCTTCCTGACCTCTCAGTCCAGGTGCTGTCGCCCAGCATCACACACACAATCACAGCCCCTCTCTCCCCAGAGCTTCATGGGGATTCCCCCACAAATCTCCAAAGCCCACGTTCCCCACTCTGCTCTCACCTCCCTCCTGGCCATGCTGGTCTCTGCCACCAAGTGCCAGCTCCCTGAATAACCCCTTGTCATGCTCTCTAAAAGCACTGCAGCACTGAACTTACAGTTCTTTGGGTCTCCTCAAGCCCCAGGCTATGGACAATGTCCCAAAAGGGCAGGAAGTATGGTGGAGTTTAGTGTTCAGCCCTGCAGCAGCCAGCAAAACTTTTTTTGGAGGAGAGATACTCAACAGAGCGTGTGAGAGGAAATCTCTAATACCAGACTGCACAGCACTTCCTGAGTATGACCACAGTGATACCACACAATCCTGCACCATGATCTTGCAAAGAGACTCTGCTACTGCCTTCAGCAGCTGAACCACGCAGAAAGCAAATCCAGCCTCACAAACACGGAGCTCCAGGGGCACCAGAATGGATGCAGTCCTGGGATGTCATATCTTGGAATCATTTACAGGATCATAGTCCTGGTTCTAGGCAGCAAAGGGGAAAACCCCTCTCAGGAGATGTCATTTCTAACAGTGCTTTGGAAGGCAAGATGTGAGCCATGAAACAAAGGGAAGAGAAGCACCAGGAACTGGGACAGCTCATCTCCACCCTTACCAAGGCACGTCTGGCCATCAGGTCCCAGCGTCGTACCCGGGGAACACGTGCAGTCACCGGTGTCCAGGCAGGAGCCCTGGCAGTCCACCACATCACAGATGTCATAAAAATCTAGGGCATGACAAGAACAATGTCAGCACAAAGCACTGAGCATGGAAGGAAAGTACAGGATTTGTCCCCCCAGCTTCCCACCCCACGTGCAGCCCCTCAGTTACAGACCTGGCCCACGCTGGCAAAGCTGACCTGCTGAGAAACAACCAGGTCTAATTACTGCGAGTCAGAGATGCAAATTTTGACTTTGGTAGCACGCCAAGACAAACCACAGGGCCCACAGGAAGCGTTAAATCACCGAGGCCAGGTCAGCTGTGGAAAAATCCCGCTAGCCGAACAAAGCGGGCGAAACCGCCTCGCCGATCCTACACGGCCTACAGGAGATCCTACAGGAGATCCTACACAGCCTACAGGAGATCCTACAGGAGATCCTGCAGGAGATCCTACACAGCCTACAGGAGATCCTACAGGAGATCCTGCAGGAGATCCTACAGGAGATCCTACACGGCCTACAGGAGATCCTACAGGAGATCCTACAGGAGATCCTACAGGCAGCCACCTGGAGAAGCCTCAGGGACCGAGGAGGGGTCAGAGAGGCGACTTACGCCCGCAGTAGGCGTGGAAGCAGACGCTGGGCTTGGTGAGGTGGTACACGTAGTAGCCTCCCGGGCAGGCCTTGACCTCGATGCTGGTGTTCCAGAGGCAGCAGTTGCCGCTGAAGCTGGCGCAGGCCTGGCGCCGGACGACGCCGTCGGCCTGGCGCGGGTGGCTGCCGTTCATCCAGATGGGAGCGTGGGTGCCGCAGTGGTTCTCGGGGATGCAGAAGGTGGGCATGGCGTCGCCGGCCATGCCCGTGAAGCGGTACCACTCGCCGTCGATGCCGCTGTCGCACGTGGGCTGCCCGTGGGAGCCGTTGATCCGGTGGTCCGTGTTCCGCCAGGGCTCGTTCAGGCTGATGTAGGCGGAGCAGGGGTCCAGGGCTGGGACACACAGAGAGAGAAGCTGGTAGATATCAAACCAAGCTGTTGGTGGGTAATTACCAAGGCAGGTTTGGGTTTGTTTTTTTTCCCCTCTGTCCCTGACTTAACAGAACCACTGTGACAGAGACAGATCCCTGGGCAGAAAAGGTGATGCCAGCAAACTCATTGCCTTGTGGAAAATTCTGACAGCTTGTCTTAAAGGTCTTGGAGGAACAAGTAAACTAACGAGGCTCTGACAACATTATACTACAGTCTGACCTGCTGTTTAGCTGACGGGGGGAAAAAACAAGATACAAGAAAATCTGAGGTCCAGGTAATGATTTTGCCATAGGAAATATGCCCTGGAAATACTTAATTGTAGCCTAGGACAACAATCCTTTGGTCAAGTGACTTTGATTGGTCACTTTGGTTAGCGACCAATCCTTTGGTCAACTAACTGAGCACCTGCAAGCTTCTCCTGAAGTCACTGCTAACTCTCCCAGCTGCCTTCGAACAACTCAAACAGATTATGCAGCCTCTTTTAAAACCCATCAGTGTCAGCCCTCACAGCTAAGCTGCCAAACCTCTTTATTCATTATCTTAAAATCCACAGGGCGTGAAGGACTGAATTGGGACCTTCTGGGGAGCAGCACATTAAACCCTTTACACTGCTGTGTTCCTTGCAAGCCCACAAACACTCCTGATCTGCACAGGAGATCAGCTGTTTGTGAGCAAAGTGAGTGTTTGTGGGGGCAAGACACAAACACACAGACTTCCTGGCAAGTGCTCAAGGAGTGTGTCCCTTTTCAGAGGACTTTCTGAACCTCCTGCAAATGATTAAAATATGAGAGTACCACAGGGAGAACATAAATGAAGAATTTAAGTGTTCATTAAATTTTCAGTCTCCTCCTAATTAACCCTCATTTGGCAGCTTCCTCACTGGAAGTCCAGAGGTTCCATTTTGCCTTACATTTAATACCTGATTAAGCACAACTTATCCATGACAAGCAATTCCCTATTAAGCAAAAGGAATGCTAATATTACCCTGAGTAAGGAAAATTGATTACCATTTCCTCAAATTAGGCTAATAAAACCAATCACTCTGACAAAATGCATCTTGGACTGGAACAGCCTCAACTTTCCACATTTCCACATTTCTTTTGAAGTCCTAAAGCTGTGCTGTTTTGTTTTGACAACAGTGTGATGGAGCTTGGGTGAGGGAGGAATACTATGCTCTATTAGAAATATAAATGACCCTGGTTCATTATTTTGATTTGTTTCACTGACTTTAAAATGGAAGCTACAAGTGCTTCAGAGAACAGACTTCAAGTCTCTCTTACTTAGCTGCGAACTCTGTAAATATCTGTCCCAAAGATGTGCTACCTCATAGAAACATCTCACAAATATAACATCTCTCATGCCTCCCTCAGCCACAGACACATTTTGCTCGGTCTCCAATCCAGCATAGAAGGCAGGAGCAGCTGCCAGAGTCAGGAGTGCTGCAGAGCTGGCACAGGGAGCGTGGATCTGGGTTATGAAGGAATCTCTAGTGCCACAATTCAAAGATATGCAGAGAAGCTGATTCACTGCCACCACAACAAGCCTCGTTCTCCTGAGCAGCAGAGAGGGGAATGCAGCAGGAAAATCTCTGATGGGAATGACCAGGTATCCCCTCCTGAGCTCTCCTTTTCACCTGCCTCTGCTCGCCTGCCCTTACCCGCAGACAGCAGCAGCGCTGTAAATCCCATCCTCCAAAAGCTGGTTTGACTTCTCCCAAAAGGAAAAGACAGGACCTCAACAGAGCTTCCTCTGGGCTTCCCTCCGTGTAATTCCCTTGGCTTCCACAAGAGGATTTGCTGTGGCCTTAGGGTGAGTCACTGACTGAGATGAAAAGGTTTTCGTGTTGTTAAAAGCCAAATGAGGTGAAGCGGGAGTGCCCTGTCAGCTCCCCAGCTGGGCAGCACTAAAAATACCAACACTCTCATTAGCTTGCATGTAATTATGAAATATCCTTTGTAGACAGACTCTGGGAACGCTCGTCTAGGGAGATTACATTGTCTCCTAAACATCCAGGAGATAATTTATAGACAAAATTTAGTGAGATGAACACGCAGCAGCTCAGAGGGAGCTGGAAGAAGGCACATCAGGGGAACTGAGGTAGCGTTCCCTCACATCTTTCATTCCCCTGAGAGCTTCTGTCAGGAGTGAGGGGGAAGCAAACAAGCAGAAAAAACAGACAGCGCTCTTTGGAACACTGCAGATCCTCATGGCCACCTATGGACCACCAGTTCTGCCCCACACCAGCCTCCCTGCAGACATCAAGCAGTCACTGGCAGCACAGTTTGTTTTTTTTCATTTTAATTAATTAAATTGAATTTTTAAGGAAAAAAAAAAAAATCCACAAAAATAGAGAAGCGACTGATCAGCCTCCTCTCACCTCTTCTCCCCAAACAACAAGCTTGGGGGTTGGCACAAGATGAATAACTGCCTCCAGCTCACTATCTTTCATTTTTCTTGGCTCAATTCTTCTCCTCCTCAATGCTTCTCGCGTGGCCTGAGCAATTGGGGCTGACAAGCATTAGCCACGAAGCAAAGCTTTTCCATTTGTAAGCTTGATGCTATCGTTAGTTCTCTGGCTGACACGGTAGCAGTGTCTGGGTGACAAATCAGGCTCCAGCCAGCACTGGTGAGTGCCCCATCCTGCAGAGATTAATCCTGGGTGCATTGTGTAACTGGAGGTCTCTGCTCCAGCAGTAATAAAGGGAGCAGCACTGCATTATGGCACTAAATTTCGTTCAGATTTGTCAAGGAAGCAGGGGAAAAGGTGGCATAATGTCTACTCATAGAGTCTGTCCTGCAAAGGGAGAGGAATATCCCACAGTGCCTTGGCAATAGAGATTCTCACAGTATGGGGGACTTCACACTCTGTAAAAGAGGGATCTTTCCAACTGGAAGGAATTCCACATCACCTTCAAAGAAAAGGGATATTTCTCCCACTTTCCAGCCTTTCACCTAAGAATACCAAGGCTCATAGTGAACCTTAGAGATGGCAAACAGAAATAAGGCAATGCCTCTTTACTCACCCATCGAAGACACCGGCTGGAGCTGAACGACAAAGTAAATACAGAAAAGCAAGTACTGGAACATCCCACTGAGCCAAGGAAGAGCCACCACTCAATGTACAGAGGCTTGAAAGTCCTTGTACAGACTGGCTCTTGCAGCCTTCCTCTCAGTGGAGCTTCTGACTCAAGAGCAAGTGTGATTGCTCTCCTGGAAGTTTATCAGAGGAAGAAGCCGAAGGGACGTGGGGTACAGCTCCAGCCTTGACCTCCCCAGAGCAGCTCTGCCCCTTACTGACAGCAGGGTGGTACTTACTGATCAATCTTGTTTTTTGGACTTGAGCTGCTATTGTTTTCTGCCCTGAGTGCCCCACAGTGACACCTCCACTATCTTATCCAGAGAAGAATTCTAACCGGGGACACGCGGACATCCCGAAGGGCTGGAAAAGAAGAACAGATGGGTGCTTGTTATCTGTGCTCCTTCCACAAGTCGTACTCCACGGCTCTCTCCAGGCAGAAAACAGCGGCTAAGGAGCCTTAACTGCAGGAAATAATGGCCAAAGGAGCAGCACTGATCCTTCCGAGCACAGATTGCAGAGGAGTGCTGGGAGCAGAGCTACAATGGGAACATCAGTCAAACTGAAAGCCTGGTGTCCCACAGGGAAATGAGCTGTTCCTAGGCTACACAGAGGCCCTTGCCACAACCTGAGCACTGCAGCAAGATTATCAAACAAGGCAAGTAAAGACACTTAGCTGCAGCGCTCTTACAATCTCTTGTCTTGAAAAAACAAACCAATCCCAACGTTATGGAATTAATTCTGATGCAAAACCGAGTAACTGAGAACCTTTTCCTGACTAGTTCAAACCAAACTGGGCTGAGCTGCAGGTGACAGCCACAAGCTCTAGATGCAGCACACTGAAATGTGTTCTTTACTACAGCAAACCCAGAAAGGGTTCTTCCCTCTCACCCCTGTAAGAGCTCTCCACCAGCAATGAGTGCAGCTGAGCCTACAGTAACCACACGATCTGGCAAGCGCGGGCATTTCCCCATTCCCTGGGCATCCTGCATTTCTGCAGCAGGCTGGTCTAAGAAATGACACCAAGGTACAAATCCCAGTGGGAAAAAAAGTGGCTCCATTATATTACATGTTGAATTTGCACAAGACAGGGAGGTTGGGTGCTTGTCTGTCTTGCAGGGACTGGACACTACAGAAAATTCTCAATGGCCTCCCTCTGTCGAGGTGTGCCCCTGGGAGAGAAGTGCTGCTCTACTGCACCCAAGCACAGGAGTATTTTTTCAGTGGTGAACAACTCAAGGGAACAACAGAAAAACTCCAAAAAAATTACTGTTATTGCTCCCATAAGGAAAAAAAAAATAATATATATATATATATAAATTCTTGTGGCCCTATTGTGCTGACAGCTGTGCAGCACCAGAAAAGTTTTTCCAACAACAGGAAAGGAGAACAGATTCACTACACAAAGCTATCAAGGCAGATAACCCTCAAGAGGTGATTATGTGAATTCCCAGAAGAGAAACTAAAATTGAACAGAGAATAATACAGCAAGCTACCGGAATTTCTATTTTGCCACTTTCATTGAGAGGCTAATTCATACTTATGATGCCAGGTAAATAAAACTGACAAGCCTGAATGGAATGCTCTGTTTGTGTCACAGGTGTGTACAGCTCTCTGAACCATCTCTTCACCAGCTGCTTTTGTTTTGTAGCTGCTGTATGAGCCTGCTATAACAAGGTTTTGACAGGTACGGGTAAGTGACTGACAGCTGACAATTAACACAGAGAAATGAACTGCAATTGGAGCCTCAAAGGTGTCACCTACAGGCCCTATCAAGTTCTCAAAAATGGATTAAAGCAGGGGATGCCCCAGCATTCCCAGAGATGACACTATGCCAAATCACCATATGATGGAAGTGGTCTCAAGCTGCAGAAGACAGTCTGCTACCTTTATACATTTCCAGGAAGAAGCACTGGAGGCAACTCTTCTATCAGCACCTTCTCTTGGAAAGTTAATTTGGGTGATATTTAGAGCTCCAATTCCCCCACAAACAATCTATGCATCAGGGAACTGTAACACTCAGTCCTGAGAGAATAAATGGAGGGGAAAAAACCCAAACAAAAAACCTCTCTGAAAAGAGATGCTCTGGGAGAGACACAATTCCAATAGGGCATTCTGTAGGACCAGCAATCTCCAGCAAATATGTTGTTCCTGACCTCCACATTTGCACCCCAAAGACTGATGCACCCAACACCCCAAAAGAATCAGGCTCAAGTTAGAATCTCTTAAAAGCAGTTGCCAGTACTGTTTAACAGGTAGGAAGAAGGAAGGCAAAATTAAAATAGAGGGCAGGGATTTTATTTTGGTACCCAAGAGGGATTTTTCTACACCTGCTACAAAGCCTGTGCACATCTGTTCTTCACACAAGATAAATGCTCATTTTGCAGGTGGCAACCACCCTTTTTGTGCCTCCCAGTGATCTCTGCAGTGATCTCTTTACCATCCTCACACAAGGAACTCATATTCTTCAAAGCACTTGCAGGGCTGGAAAGCCTCGTTCAGTTTGTAATGGACTCATGAATAAAAACGCTTTGGCATTTGCTGAGGTGATCTCAGCTTGGTCAGAGACACTTCTCAGGACACACCAATGCCTGGGAGGTGTGTGAAGCACAGCTCTGGGTGCAGGAACCTGCAACCTGCCTAGAAGGAGCAAGAGGAAGAGCTAATCAGCACTTCCTATGCAGAGAGGGAGGAGAACCTGGCACACAGGACAGGCTCCCTTGTCTGGGACTGACTGGAGGATGCACGTCCACAATAAGCCCTGACAGGCAGCTGAGATGGATTGCACTGAAGTCAAGGACATTGAGATAGGCATTGTTGCTGTAAACAACTTGTTCCAGGACTCAGAGCCAGTGGGAAAGGCTGTGGAGATCAGGGAGGGAGCACAAGCTGAGTGAAGTATGAGCAAACTCAACACAAGTACAACATGGAGAACCCATCAAAATCAGGCAAATACATCACTCCTAGTTAAGAGTAGAGTTATTTCCTTTCCCTTAGTGGAGCACTGTGACAAAGAACTTGGTGTTTTCAGAGTGTTTTTCCACAGGTCCTATAAACCCAGCATATTTTCCATGCTCCTCCATTTTCAGATGGAGGAATTAGGGCACAGACAGCACACCAACAACTGCAAAACTAGTCAGGGGCAAAAAGAGAAGTGGGACTCATCTTTTAAAAGCCCTCAGAGCCACAGCAGCACAGCCTAAGTAAGAACAGCTTCTTCTCCTGTTTCAGGGCTTAGGTACACTGCAAGTCTAATTTTCGTTACCGCATTTTACTTTTCACCCCTTTAATGTCAGTAAAGAAAATAAGCCTGATAGGTTTTTTAAAAGGAATAATTAGAATTTCTTGGGAAAGGGAGAAGAATACCTAAGATATAAAAATCTCCTTTCTCTGTGAAAATGAAGCCATACAATGGGGCACAGAGGAAAGAAGCTTACTTTTATAATTACACATACACAAGAAAACCCTAGAGGGTATCAAAGAAATTGGTCCAAAGACAGGGCAGCTTGGCCAGCTTCACATGGCTGGCTCAGTGCCATGGTCTGATAGCCAAGAGCAGCTTCAAAGCATCATGCAAACCCTCTTAAAACCAATATGGAAGCATAAGAACTTGCAGCAAGGTGATCATCATTGCTGCCTGCCAGGCAGACAGGGTCACAGGTGGAAAGAAAAAGGTTTTCTTTGCTCTTTCAAGCAAGAGGAGCCATGAACACCTTCCCTGGAAGGGCCTGCAAGGTAGAGCCTCAGGGGTGAACTTAATGCAGTTCTCCAGGAAACTTTAAACTGGTCATACATTTATTTGAAAGCTCCCTCACAGAAGAGGTTAATGAAAAGAAGGACAAAATTGGTAGAAAAAGCAGCATCTGAGCACTGCAATGCACCCTGCTGCTTCTCCCTCACCGGGGCTGAGGAATGCAGTGGTGCATTAAAATTCAGGCAGCACTGCCTGCTCTGCAAGTGCTGCCAGGGGCACAGGACCTTATCACCTGCCTGGCTCCCAAAGGGGAAATAGCTGCTGCAAGAGAGTGTGTTGATGTTGAGATACAACAGTGTGGATCAGGAGGGTAAACAAACCCTGCCCTTCCCCTTCAGTGTTAGCATTCCAAGGCACTGAGACTGGAGCAGGAGGATTTCAGGGCACAAGTGTAGGCACTTTCCTTACTCACACCATCTCTAGAGCAACATTAAAGTGTGTGCAGGCAGAGTTTTGTAACAGCATCTTCTTGATTTCAAAATAGAGATGGTGGTGCTGAGATGTCCTGAAGTCTCCTGCTCCCCTGGATGCCAAAATGGGCAAATTCTTATGCAGTTGAGCCAAACAATTTACCTAAGGCTGGCAGCAGCTCACCTGGGGACAGCAGCAGACAGAGGGCTGCTTGGAGGAAGGAGGCCTGTCAGCAGTGATTAAAGGTAGGTGACAACAAACAGCTTCCAGCCCAGCTCCAGCTTTATAAAAAACAAGAGCTGGCTTTTTCAAAAACTTATCATGAATCAGGTCATTTCTTTAAGCAGTCCACGAGCACAATGGAAACCTCCACCAAACGTCTCATCTCAATAACCCATAAAGTTAGGACAAAGCACACACTGCTGATTCCCAAAGGTAATGAACAAATCACATGTCCCCATGACAAACCAAACCATTCAAGGGCCCAGAAAGAAAGGATCTGAAGCCTAACACTCCTGTTTTTCTCCAACACAGCACTTGAGTGCAGTACAGAAATCCACTGACATAAAAGGTACCTCTTTTGAGTTGCTGGGCATTATCTGCCCCTGTATATCCTTATCCTGTTACTATGCTGGCCAAAGAAAGGGAGATCTTTGCTAGACCAAGTATCTCTACCTCTACCTCACCACCTCAACTGCTCCTGCCAGCCAGGCCTGGCAGCCAGATCTCCATCCAGGCTTCTTCAGGAAAGCTATTATCTGCATCACCACGGCCTCGGTGAGGTAAGGGCAGTCAAGAAGACACAACCTAAACAAAAAGAAATGGAGGAAACTCAGGCGAGAGCTGCCACACAGGAAATAGTCTCTTGTCAGTGGGGAAAATAACATTATTCAAGAGCATTGATTCAAAAATTGAATAGTTATTTATTGTTCCAGAAGTACATTGCTCTTTTATACATATTTCATAAATGATACAGGATTTTACACATGTTCAGGTTTGGTGGTTTGTTTTTTTTTGTTGTTGTTTTTTTTGTTTTTTAAAGAAGGACTTTTCTCCATGCTCCCTCCCTCATCCCAAACACACACCAAGGATTCAGCTACAGGATTGTGTTCACTTTTTTCCTTTTAAAACTCATCATCACACAAACAGGATAAAACAGATAAAAAATAATCACACAATGTAATTAAATGGAAAGACAGAGGAAAAGGGGAAGGGAAGAAAAAAAAAAAAAACAAAACTAGAAACATGCACCCATTCGGTCCAACATGCCACTGAGTGAGAAGAGGCAGCAAACCCAGCTGTGTTTCCACATCTGCAAGGCACCTGGCATCTAGTTAATACTGAATTATTTTCTTTCCTATATTTTTAAAATACAGTTCTCAAAAAAAAAACCAGAAGCCTCTTTCCATGACACAGTGAGGAGTAGTAGTGAAACATCAGAATGAAGCAGCCAGCCTTTCTGTATATAAAGCTCAGTGTCCTTCTCCCGCCTTCATCCTGTCTCCACAGCATTTATCAGCAGGGTGCTAAGCCAGACTGACCTGCTTTGAGTGAAGAGATGTTTTATCTGCTTAGAAAGCAGCCAGCCTTGGCTAAGAGAGAGGGCAATGGGTTGACCTTCCTTCCTTTATTTCTTTTTAGCTAAGAACAAGAGATGTCATTAGCCACTCCTAAGAAATTCTGACCTGTGGTCACAAAGTTCACTTAAAGCTACTTAATCAGGGGAAAGTGCTACAGAACCAAAGCAGTTCTGTGTCTTGCACTCCAAGATCCCCAGGCTCTCAAAAAGCCTCTGGGCAAGGGAAAGGCTTTCACGATATATGAAACCTTCTATCCCATTACACAAGCAGTCAAGTATCAAGTTTCATTATTCCATGTTCCAAAACTGTTCATTTAAAAGCAGGAGTCATGATTCCGGCAACAGTCTTGTAATTCTTTAAGCCTTCATAATTTCATAGTCCAGGTGGCTCTCAGATTTGGGGTAGGAAGAGGGGAACCTCCCTGCCTTAAGACTGAATATAAAAAACCGCTCATGCAATGCTGCCATGGATTTCTAGGAGGAGCTCAAGGGCATTGGGGTGCAAAGTTTATAGAGTTATTATGGAATAATCCAAAATATCGATTATCAAA